CACATCACTGAATTACTGCATTTCATTTTATCTCATGTTCGTGTTGACCACAAATATATTCTGAGTAGTAATCGAAACTGACCAATATTCCATCTTGTACTTGCTCCACACAATACACTTTCTGATATAATTCTAACTGACCTTTACTGACTGGCTACTTACTGTATGCTGAAGTGTAAAGATGAGATTGATTGTACATCCTGTGAAAATGATTGCATCGATAACGAAAACCCTCTTCACTGAAATGTCTTTCATTTTCTTCATCACTCAAATGTTGAACGATAATTGACAAGGTAATGAGATCGGAGATTTTTGAAATAAAATCAAATGTGAAGAGAAGGAGTAGCAGAAAGGTATACAGGTACACAGATTATACGACTATGTGAGCAACTAGAGAAGTGTTAATAAGTAAGTGGAATACGAAAACAAAACATGCCGCCATTCAAGCTCATTTAGCTGGATAACAGACATATCACGCGTGATGTTTAATAAGTGATGATGTAGCGAATATGAAGGGGAATCAGCATCTACACTGAATAAAAGATTATGCAATCAGTTACCGTTAACAGAGACTAGAGGATGACTCACTGCAGCTTCTCTTTTTCATCACATAAGTCAGCTTCTAACCATTTGTTAAAAATGACCTCTGCGAATCTCAAAATTGCTTGCTTGCCTCTTTGCTTGCTTGTTTATTATTTTGAAGGAATCCAATGTGTCCACTTCATTTTCTGTGTCAACGAGATGTCCTGTGACTGAGTTGTTCAACCTGTTGCTTCCCCTTCATCGCATACTTTCTGATATGTGCTCAGTTGCTTCTGTTCTCCTCAGACTAAATTACTTACATATTTCACCGATAATATTTTCACTATAAAGCGTAAATTTTACTTACATATCGAGGTAATTTACCATCTTCTCAGAATACATTATTTATTGAAGTAATGATACTTATCTTCTTCAGTGTCCTGAATGACATTCTTCAAATCGTCTCAGGAAATAGAAGAGTGGACTCCATTAATTAGCCGTTAGATAATACTCGTGATAATCCTAAACTACTGAAGGATTTCATCAGAAGTTCAACACCTGAGTGGTTAGTAGATTTGTCTTTTAACCTAAAGATATTGGGTTTGACTATCGTGGGGTGAAGAGTCTGAAATTGTGCTGAATCTGCTGTCCAATAGTGTTCAGTAGATAGCGCTTATGTTTAGCGGGAATGTGGTTTATTGGCTAAAGCATTCCAACTAGCAGGTCCCACATTTCACTCCTACTCCACTTAGCTCAGCCCTAAATATTAGGTGTTATCATTAGCACTCACACAATTATAGGGTCTAATAGAGAGAGATAGAGGGGGAGGGAGAGAGCACCCGAATGGTTGACCCACGACATGATATAATGTGCAGTTCTGATCCTACGAAAGGCTGGGTCAGTGTGTTTAATGTTCCTGAATGTCAACGCAGTCAGTCGGTTGGTATATATCACTGTGTAAAAGGTCGAGAGTAACAAGGATTTATTCTTGTCAATAATCTACTCCACCATAAATAATCAATATTCAAGCATCATTCGTATTCAAACTGTTTTGTTCTAGATCGAGGAGACTGATATTCTCCATTAGTGGTTGCTGAGACGACCTGAAGTTGTTAGAAGCTGGTTCACTGTTTGATAGTTGACTGGCTTCAAACTGTGATAGCCTAGTATATTGTCTCCATGGTTGTGGTGGATATTCACAGTAGAGAGAAGAATAGGAATATGTTTCAACGCACTTGAGAATGGAGCCAGTTGTTTTCATGCCATAGCGGTAAATATTATCAATACACATATACGGACGAAGCAGAAGATACCGACCACGGAAGTTAGGGAATCTGTATGAAAAGAGGAAATATCAGGAAATGATGAGAATACCGTAGGGGAAACGAATCGCGATAGAGACAACATTACACTGGGGAGAGTGAATTGATCTAGTGAAATCATAGAGATAATAACATTTTTTTTAAATGCAAAGTTGACACTAGCCTAGTTGAAAGTATTTATATCTCGACACCAATTTGAAAAAGAAACAAAAGTTAATGAAGCGGGATTTAGTGAATTCATCAAATTTCGGTAGAACTCATCAGCTCCTGAATACTCTACATACACGGATATATATACTTTTGAAATTACATTGGGAGATATAAGACTGATAAGCACAAATAAACTACATTGAATTAGTGATGCAGAAAGGCAGGTGTGAATGTTTTCCAGGTCACGTTCAAGCAGATAAGAGGAGAGAGAGTATACAAGATCAAAATTAAGATAAAATGCATTACGCTTCAATTACATCACTTAGATAAACAATTAGTCATTAGAGAATATATCAAGAATTGCAAACAGAGTAATATCAATAGTGATAGTTAAAATAACAACAATAATAAAAATAGTGTTGAAGTCAGTTAAGATAATCCTACTGATAAAGGATAGTTTCAAGTGAATCAAGAATAATAATAATAAGAGATAGAATAATAATTAAAATGTATTACCATGGTAGATTCAGAGTGATGACCATCTCCTTTTGTACACAGGACCTGGTTTATAAACCCGAATTGTACAAGACTTGTTTTTTTACAAGCTGATAAAGGACAAAGTGTAGTACTAATGAATAAGGAAGATTATATCAAGATAATACATCGAATTCTCTCTGATAAATCTAATTTCAAATTGGATCATCATGCAAAAGATCGAAGGTTATCGACAGAAAGGAAAATTGTGCAACTCTTCAAGAAGAAATACACTGATGAAAATACATATAGGAATATCAAACCGATTGGCTCACAAATCCCAAAATTATATGGACGCGTTAAAATACACAAATCAGGAGCGCCATTAAGACCCATACTCTCAATGATAAATTCACCATACCAAAAATTAGCACAGTGGCTATGTGAATTGTTGCAGCCCTTGAGAAAACGTTTCGGAACGATTATAGTTCCTGATTCATTTCAGTTTGTCAAGAAAATTAAAGATTTCAATGTATCTGATAAGCATCTGGTCTCTTTCGATGTTACTTCCCTCTTCACAAGTGTGCCAGTCGTTGAGACTATTGACTTTATGTGTAGAGAAGCTGAAGACATACCCATTCCAACATCGGAATTGAGGAAATTGTTACTTTTATGAACTAAGAATGTCCAACTCCAATTCGATGGGCTTCTATTTCGTCACGTTGATGGTGTCGCATTGGGAAACCCCTTGGGACCACATTTTGCAGACTTATTCTTGTCAGGCCTAGAAGCCGGTGCCTTACAGCAACATATACAAGAAACGGATGTTTACCTAATATATGTTGATGACATTTTTATTGTCTGGGGAAGCAGATCAAAAGCTGAAGACATGTTGATAGAATTCAAATCATGCCATCCGAATCTCAATTTCAATATGGAAGACGAGGAAAATGATACTATTAAATTCCTAGACGTTTTTCTAGTGAAAATGACTTATGGCACAATCGAGAGATCTATATTTAGAAAATTTTCATGGACAGGACAATACATGCATTTCAAGAGCTTCGTTCCAATCAAGTATAAAAAGAACTTGGGCAGAACACTGTTCAATAGAGCACGGAAAATTTGTTCTGACAGTACAATTGAGCATGAAATAAAAGTTCGGAAGGATATTTTATCTAAGAATGGATATCCTGGTAAGTTCATTAATAAATACTCTAAAGAAATTAGCCCCTTCAAAACTATCCAAACAGTTCCGAAGAAATCTGTATTTATCAGTTTGCCATTCAAGGGAGATGATGTGCAGGAAGTAGTCAAACAAAGACTCGATAAAGCCATCAAGAGAACTTACTATGCTGCAAAACTTGTTATCCTTAACACCACTAAGCGAGTAATTCAACATTCTGAGAAAGACCAGTCGCCAATCCTCGACACTTCAAACTGCGTATATCAATTTGGGTGTGTTCGTGGAAGCAAATACATAGGTCGTACAGAAAGGCGATGGTCTCCACGCATGATGGAGCATTTGACAAAATGGTCGAAAATAGCTGAATTCAGAGACTATGGACATGATATCGACGCTGTCAAGACATCTGTTTTAATCTCTCCAACCCCTCTCCTCTTATCTACTGGAACGTGACCTGGGAAACATTCACACCTGTCTTTCTGCATCACTAATTCAATGCAGTTTATTTGTGCTTATCAGTCTTATATCTCTCAATGTGATTTCAAAAGTATATATATCCATATATGTAAAGTATTCAGCAGCTGACGAGTTCTACCGAAATTAGATGAATTCACTAAATCCCGCTTCATTAACCTTTGTCGCTTGTTTTAAGCTTGCCCGTTTCTAGATTACTATTTCATAATATCCAATAGTGAAGAAGAACAACCACCAGGCCTATTATATCTTCGTCCGGTGATCAGATACCAGATAATAAACTGTGCTCAAAAAATCATCGGGTGTCAGGAAACATAAAAGGCTGGGAGTTATTACTATTACTATCCTGTTAGTTTCCAAGTGGAACAAGGAGCTTCAACACCGCATCTCCACTCCACCCTGTTTTCTTCGGTGCCCTTCAGCTGGCTCTTTGTTTGTCCACTGTCATCTCCTCTATTTTACCCTCAGACGTCGCCTTACCCACCATTCCAGTCAATCGTCTTATCAGCGTGTGTCCAATCCACCTCAGTTTTCCTCCACATTTATTGTGGGTAATAGCTCCTTACCTTATTTCGCCTGTAGTTCCTCGAGTTTTTGTGACATTAAACATACATAGTGCTCTAAATTCCTCTTGTTGGTCCAATGTGAGGCTGTGTACTCGTACTAATGATTTGCATCGTCACCATATAGCTGTTGAACGAGGTCGGTGAAGATCTCTAGGACTCAGACGTCCTGAAGCATGTGAAATATTTTAACTAGATGCATATTTGGTGACAACAATGACAATCACCTTACACTGTTATCAAATAATCTACTCTAAGTAAATGACCGCATTCTCACATTAAAGTTAACATAATCACAACTATGCAAACTTACTCATATACCAACCAATAGCTTGGTTTACTGTACGGCTGATATCCTGGTGAGCATAACGATCCTGTATCCCACACTTGCAATGGTGAAAGGGCTTCATTACTGTCGCACATATCAGACCAATAACCTCTCTGATTCACTTCACTATACAATCGCAGACACTGAAGTTCTGTATACTGATTTTGTAGTAACCGTGAATTCACTTGTGCCAAAACGACATCGTTGTGTGATTCGGTGGTTGTATTGGCGTAGGTTTCAGATGAATTGGCGTATTTCTCAGTAGTATTGGTAACGACATCGTTGTGTGATTCAGTGGTTGTATTGGCGTAGGTTTCAGATGAATTGGCGTATTTCTCAGTAGTATTGGTAACGATATCGTTGTGTGATTCAGTGGTTGTATTGGCGTAGGTTTCAGATGAATTGGAGTGTTCCTCAGTAGTATTGGTAACGACATTGTTGTGTGATTCGGTGGTTGTATTGGTGTAGGTTTCAGATGAATTGGAATGTTCCTCAGTAGTATTGGTAACGACATTGTTGTGTGATTCAGTGGTTGTATTGGCGTAGGTTTCAGATGAATTGGAATGTTCCTCAGTAGTATTGGTAATGACATCGTCGTGTGATTCGGTGGTTGTATTGGTGTAGGTTTCAGATGAATTGGAGTGTTCCTCAGTAGTAATTTTGGTGTATATTTCAGTTGTATTGATCGTTGCTTGCCGAGTTGAAACAATGACAGCAATGAGCACAGTGAGTAGAGTTAATAACATATGAGTTAGTGTCATCTGGCTTTCAAATACGTGAAAAGGCATCTATCGTCAACCAATTTATACTCTTGTGTGAAGTAAGGTCATAAACCTAGAAACTCGTGAACATGTGACAACAGATAGACGAAGTGCTTCTAAACACAGATTAAATAGATACGTGTACACTTGTGTGTTATTACAATCCTATTAGTAATGATGACCCGATTTCCATTCTCTATCCATAAGAAACGTGATTATGCACGTAATGAAAGTAGGTTTTTCCATATTAGTTTGTTTACCAGGTGTATCACACAGTGAAACAGTATAGTCTACTGGATGACACAGTCTCGAACTAAATTTATCCTGGTTCATAATCATATCATCAATTAGAATCACACGACTTCGAAACTTCAGTTTGATAGTTTTCTTTCTTCTCGCCTATTTATCGTCGTTCGGGTAGTAGAAGTTTCCAGATGTCCAACTGGACGGGTGTTGAATCATTCCTGTCACACGTATTTGCAGTCGATTCGATAAACAAAGGTTCCGTTTCACTATGTCTCACTGTTTCACAGTGTGATACATCTCATAAACATCTCATAATATGGAATTACTTACTACCACAGTTCCCAAGTTTTACACATGTATTGATATAACTTTTGGTCTTCCTGTACGAAGACTAGTTAGTAAACTGATTTGACTTTCGCGAAATATCTCGCGAGATATGAAAATTATCGTATTTTCAACATTCGATGCCTAAAAAATGAAATCATTCCTAAATACCTACGTCTACGTGCTCCAGTTCCGACGGACAGAGTTAGAAGCAGAATAGAAAGTCTGCAAAAATTATGCCTACAAGATAAGATCCACAGAATTGTTTAAAAGTTGCAACACATATCAGATATGAAATTGAGCAATTAAAACAAAAGCTAATTGGAATAGTCCCTAATGTGGATTATGATCTTATAACACAGTCCTCTAGCAGTGCCAAATCAGCAACTTCCAAAAAGTCAAAAAATACTCAAATCAAAAATTTCAATAAATTATTAGAGGAGAAATCTTCATCTCAGAACGATGAAATCAACAATTTAAAGTCAACAGCGATCGATTAAACAAAGTGGGTTATCAATCTCTCAACACACATATTAAGTCCTACAGAAATAAGTGTATTAGAAAAGGGACTAAATTTCAGCCCTCAAACACCTCAAGAATAACAAGGATACAGCGATCACAAAGTCAGTAATGTTACTCCATCCAATCAAACTAAATCCTTACAAAACCAATACTTAAAAATTAATCTGATGCTCACTAGAGACTGGCCCAATTCAGGCAGTAACCTAGGGTTCTAGTGGAAAGCCGTGACCAGTAGGGTACAGCAGGCTGAAGATGAGGCATTAACTCATCGAAGAAGATATTGCGAAATGGTCGCGCTATGTCATGAATTGGCAGAAGTTGGAATTCATAGGCTGGCGATTGGATTGGGTCCCAGTGGCTCAGTCTTCTACGAGCTCGCCTTGTAACCAGTAGGTCCTGGGCTCGAACCCGGTGGGTATGCATATATCTAACGCCTGTTTCATCTGTGCTGAATGTTTCGCCTTCTCTCCAATAATATGACTCTTGCGAATGATATCGTCTTTTCCCATCTGTGCTAAACTCAAGCTTCTGAAAGGTGTATGATGCCACTCAACGGTCACTTCAGCGTTTGTCCATTCAATCTCCACTTCCTTATGCATATGATTTAGGCAATAGGCTCCTGGTTGATTCGTCGCCTGTCAGACTTCCTTCTTGCTCATCATTTCTTACCGGTCATCAGATCTTCAGCATGGAGTCACTGAAGGCAGCTGTGATGATGAAATACTTCTGGAGACTCGTGCATCGTTTCCCGACCATATGGAGTCACTGATTTGAAATTGGTATTGGCCATCCCAATCTCATATCTTATGCTCAGTGTTGCAGATTTCTACACTGATTTAAAGGTGATGAATGCCGGTCTTGATTCGCTCGTCCTGTCTAGCTTTCCATGCTCCTGTAGTGGAAACGATGCTGCCTATGCAGGCGAAAGAGACGACTTCATTTAGATTTCTCTGTTTAATAGTATTTGGTGTTTTTGTTACTGTTGCTCAGATGTCTTAATCATCTCTGCCTTCGTAATGTTCACATGAAGTCTTGTGTCCCCCTCCGATCACTTCTTACAACTTGTTTGTTTTCGCATGTTCATTTTCGAGTTTGTGCCACATTAGACAAGAATCATCTGCACAACAACCCATGATTACTAGTGAAAATATTTTCTTGCATTCATTGAAGACACCAAACAATAAATTTGAATGTCATTCAAACAAAGCATGTTCGACCATTTGACCAATCAGTAACCCTGTGGTGTCATACTCGTCGATTTCTCAATTTATGTCATATGATTTTCAATGTGATTTTATGATATTATTGAGTGGACTGTCACAACAAATCGTGGATTTATCTATACTCTATTCACCGTTTTTATTATTATTATTCGCGAAATACACATTCAACTGTCTTTTCAGTATGTATAAATATTTCCCCTTTCAAATGTTCATGTGTAGGGATTCGGCTGATTTCAAATAAAATTTCATCTTGTCGGTTGGTGATGAGACCTAAATTAAAATTAGTCAGATACACACTGCTCATTAGTGATTGGATTTCTTCCGCTTGAATTGAATCTTGTAGCTGATTATTATTAGTGTATCCTTTAATTCCTAGAGAAACATAGGGCTTCAGCCGTGCGTCTCCATTGCGTTCGGTTCTCTGCTAGAGTATTCACCTGGCTCCAAGTCTGCCCACAATTTTTCATCTCCTCTTCACATGACTTCCTCCGAGTCACTCTTGCACTGACGACCAACTTGCCGCTTCCCTTTCGGGTCCCATTCGAGCAATGGCTTGTCTAGTGACGGGGGGTTTAAGAATGGTGACTTATAACACTGGATTTCAAAGCATCTAAACTGCGAACTGAGTGAAGTTATGATTCATGGTCAATTGTATTTCGAACAAGTGGTTCAATAATAGCATGCTCATCCAGTCACCTGAAGGCCTTGAGTTTGATTCCAAGTGGAGTGATGGATGTGGACTGGAGAAAAGTTTCTAACTAGACAAAGCAAGCAGACGACTAGTACTACTTAATTTCCAGTAGTTCTGCACCTGATGTCATCTTATAATGGAATGTAAACTGAAATATATTTTCCTATTTAGTCCATAAAACCTCTTGACTTTGTTATGCTTAAGGCATCATTGTATTTAAAGTCAACTGTATGAAGAGAACAGTAATAATCACTGAATCGCCCTCAGAATGAAACAACTTTCTCGTCCTTGGGAAGCCTTTCATCTGTTTTGAAAATTGTCTGAACAGTTTCAAGAGTCATTTTGTAAAGATTTTATTTGTTTCATTTTTGAGCGTGGATTGAAATTAGTTAAAGAACCATTGGAAATCAAAGATTACTGGACATCCGTTGTATACTAGTAATTAGGACTCATCGCCATTTAGATTCGAGTGACGCATCAAATTTCATCCAATCACAGGAACGACTTCCTTCTGAAGTAAATAATATCGAAAACAACCGCCTGAATTTTGAAATACTCAGTTTCCAGCAAAATGAAGATCTACTTCGATGAACTTCAAAGTCGGTTTCACATTCCGAGGTTTGATTTGCAGACAACAAGATTGCATAGCCACCAGGTCATCTCTACGTCCGCTATTTGAAGACATTTTCATGGGAACTCTGGAAAATTATCTATTGAAGTCAAATATCTGGCGTGCGTCGGTGGCACAGTGGTTAGAACTCTCGCCGACCATGCACATGGTCCGGGGTTCGATCCCCTGCCGGCGCACACCCGATATCTATGGTCGGCCTGCAAAATTTGGGCTACCGATATCCATGCTGAAAATTCCATACTTGTACTGAAAATACGGTGTGGAATCAAGCTGTAAATCAAAAAAAAAAATTAAAAAAAATAAAATATCTGGCGGCCTGCTTAAATCTTGGGCTGCCAAAATTTCCATCCTACATATTGCATCTATTTCCTCAAATTTATTTTATTTTAATCATTCAATTATGTGTCTTAATCGTATTGTTTACTCTCGCTGTTATTTAAAACGTTTGCAACCGGTTGATTTATTAGTTCCTTCATGGTGGATGGCAGCGAGCTTTAAAGCGTACTCCAATGCAGTTGATGACTGTTCCTGTGATTATTAGCACAAATTGCAGATCTCTACGAACAAGATTAATTGCTTGCATTCTCTATTATACTCAAATGTATATTGTAATACTGGTGTAATTACTCTTCAAGAAACTTGGCTCCACGATTCATATGACGATAATTTAGTCTCCTTAAGTGATTTTACAATGTACAGATAAGACCGATGCAGCTCAAAGAAGAAGAGAGGTGGTGGTGTTGCCACTTTTATTAATTCTCAGTGGTCTACCACCAACAACGTCTGCTTCAAATTCTCAAAAGACAACATTGATTGCATAACTGTTAAATGTCGACCTAAGCACTTATCTAAGTATAGCTTCATTTTTGTCACAAATATTTATGTTACACCTTGTTTCAGTCCCTCAGAACTATCGATATTCGCTGTTCAATTCACTATTTTTGCTGCTGCTTCGTTTTGCAACTCCTTGTCTGTAGTGACTGGTGACTTCAGCTCCTGCGACTACAGTTTTATTACATTGCTGGGTCATGAAAATGTTGTTAACTTCCCAACTCGACAAGATACTTCACTAGATTTAGTATTTATAAATGATTCTGGAATATACGAAGCTCGTAAAAGAGCTTCGCTCTTCGATTCTGATCACTTTATTGTACGAGTTTTACCCAAAATTTACGGAAAGTTACACAATAAAGCCTTCTCTAACTTGTTCAAGAAAGTTGTTCACAGATGTTACTCAAATGAGAATGTACAACATCTTAGAAACATGCTCAGTGACACAAGATGGGATCTGTTTAATGATGTTTCACTTGATGACACAATCTCTAATATTACATCTTATCTGAAATTCTGTTTTGAAATCTGCTGTCCAAAAGAAACACTATTCATCAAATTTGACCGTTTCTCCTCCCCTCAAATTAAAAAGCTTCGTAGAGAGAAGGAAAAACTATATAAAATCAAAGATAGAAGTGGTGTAAAAAGAACTAACTTGTTAATCAAGTTGAATGTAATATATAACCAGAAATTCATATCCTGCAAAAATGCTTCTAATATGTGGAAACTATTTCAGGAAATCACTGGTGGTAAGCAGATAAACAATATTCCGTAATCTTTTGATGTATGTACTCTTAATAAACCTTTTATTTATTCTCCCTCAAATTCCATGCTTTCCAGCATCACTAGTGTTAACAATAGCACCTTTCCAGGTTTTAACACAAATGATGTTCAAAAGTTCTTCCCAGAGCTTGGGTTCAGATTATGTATTAATTTTTTTAAATGTTCTGATATTCTGTGTCACCCTCTCACTGATCTGTTTAACAAATCTTTTTCCGGTAATATTCTGCCTGTTGTTTGGAAGGACATTAAAGTTGTACCTATACCTAAATCATCTACTGGAGCATGTGTTAAATTTAGACTCATTGCTATTACCTCTGCTTTTTTGAAAACTATGGAGAAATTACTTTTGCTTAGTCTTGTACCTTCGCTTAAATCCTTTAATGACCCTAAACAATTTGCCTATAAGCACAGTAGAAGCACTTTAGATGCAGCTGCAGTCTTGCACTATAACATTGCTTGCAGTCTAGACAAGGGAGCTAAATTTTTTCGTTGCGCCTTCCTAGACTATACATCTGCTTTTGACTCGATCCCTAGGGACATCCTATTAAATAAACTTGCTGCAAGTCAAACAGAATGTTGGGTTGTTAACTGGTTACATTCTTATTTCTCAGAAAGAAAGCAGTACACCATGTATAAAGGGAAGTCTTCGACTTCATTGCCTACTGAAGCTGGTGTCCCTCAAGATGCTGTCCTTTCTCCTTTTCTTTTTTCTTTCTTCTTACATGACGCCTCACTCTGATGAAATAAACTTTGTGAAGTACGCTGATGATTTAACAGATTCAGTGGCTGTTAACTCCCAGCTAGATTGTACCAAAGTAAATAGCTTTCTGTCGGGAGTAAGTAAATGGTCTGAGTCTAACGGTCTTAAAGTGAATCCTTCTAAATGTCAAACTGTTAATTTCAGCTTAAGATGTAAACGACAGTTAAAAGAAGCCGTCGATTCTCATGACAGTTGTAAGATTGATGACAATGATATAGGAACTAAATTAGAAATTAAGTTTCTTGGACTTATCTTCTGATCTCTCCTGGTCTTCCCATGTTTTAGCGATCTCCAGTAAATATTCCACCTGACGTTTTACATTAAGAAGTTAAGGCACTCGGTTATAACTCAACCCCTCCTCTTACAGTTTATAAACTCTTGCATCCTACCTATTCTTCTTTATTGTTCACCCTTATTCTTTCCTGGTTTGCTTAGAAAGGACTATGTCACAATTCGTAGAATACTGAAGACTGTCAGTAGGATGAGTGGTGTCCCAGTGGACTACATAGTTAACGTCGTTGTTGATAGGCACTGGACATCGTGCAGTAAATTTTCTAAAGGGATTTTGTCTGACTTGGAGTATCCACTTCACCCTCAGTTTTCACCTTACATCTCCTCAGGTAGAACAAGAAGTGACTTCAGAAAACTGTATGCTTGCACGTCTATGTATAAAAATTGTATGATACCGTACTTGGCACGTATTTTATGTGATGAAAATAGCGTCAGGCAAGAATTTTGACTCTGGTAAATATTTTCTGTGTTGTTGTGCTCTACGGACTGAATGATTCAACTGCAAACCTGTCATCTCCCTTCGAAACATCATCTTCACTGCTAAATTCACAGTCAAAGACACTGAAAGAAGAGAAGTCGGTTTGTATCCACATACTTTATTTACTCATAAATAAAAAAACATTCATTCATAAACTACTTTTATCAAGGTTATTTATTATTTACACTTTCTCTTAATAAATCAGTTAAATTTTGAGTTTTATGCAGTGTGACAAGTGCTGCCCCTTTTACTTTGAACCGGATTTCTGTTTGACTGACACCATCTTTTGGTTTATCCTTAGTATCTTCATGATGCACCAGGGATTGTAACTGTCTCCATGGTTGCTTTGGATAATGACAATTCACTGTAGGATAGGGTGTAGCTTGTAAATTCTGTGTACATATAAGTACTGAAGAGATTGATATTAATTTGTATTGATAAACGTTGTCTACACATCTATCATGACCGAGACGTATGTAGGGACCAGTGAAATGAGGTTGTCTACAAAAGAAAACGAAAAGTAGTAGAATAGTGTACACATATTCCAGATTTCAACACTGACAGGGTTAAATTGATTTGCTTCGTTGGGGAATCTATTATTAGTCAAACAGTTTATGCTGACCGGTCGCTGGAAAGGACCAGTATCATGCTTCTAGTTCCATGTATTAGTGCTGACTAAATTCTCTCACTCAAGTTTACAGAATGGTCGACAAACACTATAGTGGTAACCCCTCTGAATACAGTGGTGTATGATACTCCTTTATAAACTGAGGGAACATAAGTTCCATTGACGTTGAAGATACATTTTATGGGCATGTCTTATCAAACAAGAAACTTAGATTCAGCGTTTTATCTGTCGACTGTCTTGAACCATCTGTTATCACTGTTATTATTATTACTATTAATCCCTTGCATTCCGAGTGAAACAGATGGCATAAGCGCCGCATCACCATTTCACTCTGTGCTCTGCAATCCTAACCCCAGGATCGCTCATAAGCTTCCATCTCCTGCATGTCACCCTCACAACCATGCAAAACAGTTCGCCTGCCATTTGTGTTGACCTCGAGAGCACTTAGAGCACAAAAACTAAGTAGTACAAAGGAAAATCTAAGACAGGAAGGGAGGCATATAAGAGAAGCTTTGAAACTTAGTAATTACCCTGATAAATTCATCAGGAAGTATAAAAGTAAAATAAATAATAATAGTAGTAGTGACGGTGATAATGATAATAATAATTTTAATATTTATGAAGACATGCATATCAAACACGCACAAGATGATAATAACACGAAGAAAGAGGAATCTAAATCATCAATAGTAATTCCATACAAGGAAGGAACCTCAGAAACCTTACGCAGAATTCTTAACAAGGCAGGAATAAAAGTGTCTGGCATTCAAATCTCCCACAAACTCAATTAGAAACAAGCTTTATCGGTTAAAGGATCATCCTGTGGAGCTTTTGAAATAAAACAATTTAGTTTATCTAATACCCTGTCTGCGTTGATTGTCAGGTCAAATACATAGGTCAAAGTAGTAGAATAGGTGCAGTCAGACTAGCCGAGCATAAAAACATAGCAGTGAAATCTAGATTAGTTGACCTGAATAAGATAAGAAATCCAGACATTAGTTGCGCCATAGCACTCACTATATGCACTTACACGCAATCATACAATAGGATGGATGGGATAAGATGACACTTTCAAAATCTAATGTAGCAGCTGGGTGGAGGGAGAGATTGATAACTGACTGAGGCTTTATTTATCGAATCAACTACAAATACGTGTAACACGAATGATTCAATACCTGTCCAGTTGGACATCTAGAAAATTCTACTACCCGAACGACGACAAATAGGAGAGAAGAGAGAAAACTATCAAGCTGAAGTTTCGAAGTTGTGTGATTCTAATTGATGATATGATTACGAACCACGATAAATTGTGTTTGAGACTGTGTCATCCAGTAAACAATACTGTTTCACTGTGTGATACATCTGATAAACAAACTAATATGGAATAGATGGGTTAAATATTAACATCTTCATATCTTCATATAATGAGTTCATTCATTATCTTTTTAGTTCAAACCCTTAGATGGATTTAAAATATTGACTATATCTCGTATTTTAACACACCACAGAGTATTTACTGCAATTTCATTAACTACAATCATATTGAACTAAATAATTCATTTCCAACTGGCATTTCGAATGCTTTCAAACAACTCGCACCGAGTAACTGTGTGAGCGTCTAAGTACTTCTCAGTATTTTTCACCGCCAAACAAAATTCCTGAAGTGATATTAGATGATTTGAGGCATTCGACCGGAAGCTTTCCATCTAAGTTTCGCGTTCCTCGGGACTCGTTAGCAAGACCTATCTGCGACCTCAAAAGAGATGATTTTCATTTGGAGATTTGAGCGCGTCTCACTCAGCGCTGCAATCAGCAACTTCGTCACTGAGGAAAAGTATTCTATAACTTCATTATATTCGTTAAACAATTTATACTACTTATAAGTAAGTGAATTTTTTAACGAATTTTTGTCTAATTGGTTGAAATATATTATAACGTGGGACAATAAACTAACTGATTGAGATGAGTAGCTGTGCACCACTCACATTGACCAGTAGTACTTAGTTACTGGATAACTGTTTCTCACATCTGTCTCCAGGCTCATCATCCGTGTACCGAGTTTAACTCAGCTCAGATAGTCGAATCAGTTCAAACCATCAAATCTCCAGCTGATCTGAATAATTTACGGTTTCTAAAGGAAATTTTGGTGAAACCTTAGTTCTAACTTTGTGTAACTTGCAATACAGTTTACAAATTGTGGATTCGACTTATTTATTGTAGAACCATTTCACCCAAGTAGCTAGATGAATGTGTAGAAATCGGATGGTTTCAACTGATTCAGCTCCAAATCACCGAAAATACCCATTGAGTCATGAAGAAGATAAAAGACGGATTCGGCGGAGAAAATCTTCTTTATCGACTAAATCATCTTCAGAGACTGTACAGTCGTATTTATACTTACAAAAATTTATAGTGTTCTATTATTGAGTAATAGGGGGTAACATAATTGATATAATTACTCAGAAGTGGCTTTAGAAGTGAAAATTAAAAGTTCTAAATTACGTGGTACTCAACGGCACAATGATAGAAATTTGATAAGGTTAAAATTGCTATTAAGTGAGAATAAAGGTATTTGAGTGTCAATTTAACAAGTGTGAAGAGGGTGTGAAAATATACAAAAGGAGCATGTGAGAGTGATAATAGTGAATTAATTATTAAAGCAAAAGCTAACTAAAAGTGAAATTAGAATGAAAAGAAAAAAATCAAAATATATTTTATTTACAAGGAACGATTAGTGAAGAGGTTAAGACCAAGGTAGAATAAGAGACTGGACAAACTTTTTCTGTATACAGAGTTCCGGGTTGTATTGATGAATTGCCAGAGCCTTCGCCATACACAAAAGCCGAAACCTGACGCCCTTTGTACCATTTGGCTTCACTTTGTAGATGATCTTGAAAGACGATTCTGGTGGAGCTGCGTTTGGAAAGCGTGCGCTTTGTGCTCCACACGAGCAGGTGAATTTATAAACACACATCGAGGTGGCCCAAAGTGGCAGTTTATCCTTAAACACATCCGTTGATCATTTGTCGGCTGTAGAAATTGATACGCAGCTCAGCCATAAAGATTCAGCTCCGTGATGCGTCAAACCGATTGCACCAGTGACGATCTCAGCCCCAGATGGGCGACACGTCTGTCCGTTGGTTAATTTACTCCTATCTGGCTAGCATTACTACTGGTTGGTGTGAGAGGCATATTACTACTCATCTCAATAAATCAGTTGTCTATACTTTTATGCATTGATACTTGCTTTCTTGATTACCATATATGGTATCGAGTTGATCACATACTGAGATCTGAGTAGTCTCAGTTTCCATAGGAACTTGTGGTGAAATTTCCCCTCCTCGAACTGTGGAAACTGTAAGTTAATTTAAAGAATTGCGGATTCAATTTAATATATATATATGTATACTGCCAATGATTCCCAAACTAGGATGAAACAGCTGTCAAGTACTACCTGGTTTTCAATGGTTCTCTATCTGAAATCAATCCGTGATCAACTCGTAAAAACAAAACTAACCCTTACAAACCAAACTATAGAAATTATATATATATATATACTTACTCGTATAATAGCCAATATCTTTGCCTTCCAGAATTCCCAGACGCTGGAGCACAAGCAGATTGTATATTCCAAATAAAAAGCGATGAGAGTAACTCATTACTATCGCATATATCGAACCAATCCCCATCTTGACATTGTTCAGTAAACAATCGAAGACATTTTAATTTGGAATTCAAACTTCTTTGTGAAGAACTTGTTTTCTCGATAGTTGGACAATTTTTAGCTTCAATGATAGTAAATTGCATTTTTATTGTACATATAAGAATATAAAGCATTAAAGTAAATGTGGTATATGAGTAAACTGACATTGTGTTATCTGTTGAGTTAAGTAAGATATGTTGAGCTTACAGAGAATTTATTTTAAATACTTTTAGCAAGATGAGGTCAAATTGTTGTTTTCGTAATAGTTATCATGAGGTCATTTTTTGTGTCTGATCATAAATTTTAGTAAATTTTAGTAAACAAAATCATCAAGGGTTACAGTTGCTGAAGGGGTCATTCAACTTTAAAAAAAATGGCGTAATAGGAAGTATAATAGAGAAATGATATAAGCTTTTATGTAGCGGAAGTTGGTCACACTATCCATAACTCAATAGCATATGATGATAAGGATAGTCTAGGAATGTGAACTACTTGATTTTTAATATTTCTTTCATATTTCATAACTTACCAGAAATTATTTGACAGTTATAAACTTATGTCGTTTGAGTTCATCAGTGCATTTAACTTAACCGAGAAACTGCTCTATCTAGTGAAGATAATAATATGCCCATTTTAAAAATATAGAAACGTGACAGTTCTCATTAATATTGAACTATTGAACTGTTTGTTTAATGAAGTTAAGTTGCACCCTCGATATCTGCTGGCTTAGAAGAAGAAGAAAAACACCCTTGGATACTTGTTTAAATGGAAAGTATGGCTTACTATGCATCTTTCATTTTTATTATTCTTTATTATTATTGTTATTATTATTATCCCCTTGGATTCCAACATGGCTTCAACAACAGATCTTCATTTCACGGAATATACACATTTGACCATAGGGAATATAAACGACAGTTGCAGCGAAGAATATTTTCTTTTCGACGAAATAATCAACAAGGTAGCTGTACATTCGTGTATTTATATTAAATGGGTAGGGAAGTTCCAGAATAATTTCTGGCCAAGGGTCAAACTAATAAAATTACAATTAGGAATTAAAATGCCATAATAAACAGGGGGACGAATACGGCTCAGACAAAGTAGCATCATAATTACTGAGAAGATTGACATATTGTGCAATTAGCGGTTAGAAATGTAGAAATAGCAAAACATAGACAGGATGTTTGGATAAAAAATCTAGTGGGATCATAACTAATATGACGTATAATTGTTTATGCAGCTAGGGATTAAATATGTAGAAATAATACAATAACAAAACAGACAAAAAGTTCGGATATGAAAATATAGTAGTGTAAATAGGGATTAAGAAAAACTTAAAATAACATGAATAAACAGGAAGTTTGGATCAGAAAGTCAATGGGATGGTCACTATTAGAAGAGTGACCAGTTTATGATGGCTACCGCAGGGACAAGGGTTGAACGTATTTCTTTTGGATACATAGCGTGGGTTTGAGTTTTTGGATGGCTAGTGCCTCGGCTATGCCCAGATCTTCACTTCATCCTGTTCTCTGAAGTCGTCTCTAGCTGACTCCATGAGTCACACTAGGCAGTGATTAGTTTAGTGTGTCTAGTCCTTTGTTTGCTGTGGACTGAATTCTAACAGCCAAGTTTGCAATGTGACCAACATTCTAGGTAGCTCGCCATCATGGTGCACATTAATTTGATGATATTAGATGGTTGGAGGCAATCGGTCACACGAAGCCTCGCACCTATGTTTCGTGCTAGATGACACTCACCAGTCAGTCACCAAGGCGTATCTGGAATCTTGAAGAAACTCATATCCTTTCTGAGATTCGAACCCGTGTCGCCCAGTGAATGCTCTAGTCAGAGACATTACCACTGTAGTAAATAAAGGACTCAACACATGACACTAGTTACTAATGTCCAATCAAATTATCTGATACAGTCCTACAGGAGGTCAGTGGCGAGCCCGAATAGCTAGCTCATTGATAACGTCTCTGACTGCAGCACTCATTGGGTGACGTGGGTTCGAATCTCAGAAGGGAGATGAGTTTCTTCAAGGTCGCAGATTATTATTATTGTTTCCTTTAGTTCCTAGAGGAACATAGGGCTTCAGACGCACGTTTATATTGCCTTCCCTTCTCCGCCAACGTTTTCATCTGGCTCCACGTCTGCCAACACGCTCTCATCTCCTCTTCACACGACTTCCTCCTCCATGTCATTCCATCAACTAACACGCTGCTTCCCGGTTGGGTTCCACTCGAGGGATGGCCTGCATTGCGTGTGATGTCACTCACTTGATCGTTTGTTTTCTCAGAGTATGGCCAGCCAATCCACCTGCACTTCTTCCTGCACATTTGTTGCACAACTGGTTCTTACTGGGTTGGTTCGCTCCCTGAGACCCCTGTTGGTTATCTTTTCTGACCCTGAGAGAAGTGTTGAGCGAAGACAGCTGTTGATGAAGGTGTGTAGTTTGTTCGAACAAGGCCTTCGTGGTGCGGCGCGGTGGCAAGTTTCTGACCCATCCGTATAATAGCAGTGACTTCACATTGGAGTTGAAAATCCGTATCTTGTTATCATGCTGGGGAGTGCTGTTGACCTCCACACAAACTTGAGAGAAATGAAAGTTTGTCTTACTTTCCCAATAACTGTCGCTTTGATATCCTCGTCAGTTCAGGTTGCAGGTACGCCTTGCTGAGTGACTGATTGACTGACTAACTGGTGAACACCAAATAACACGAAACCTGAGATGAAGGATTCCTATGACCGATTGCCTCCAACCATCTAATATGTTTCAGTTTAGAGAGAAAAAAATATATAGTAGGCTAAAGATTCTGTTATCAGTGTTATTAAGGAGTATATGTAGTAGTATATAGACAAGTATGTTTCTGCATACAGACAACAACAAAAATACAGTCTCTTTTATGGTACATGCTAAAAAAACTTGAAATAAGTCCATTAACTCACTTGAGCATTAGTAGTATTAGTAGTAGTTAAAATGCTGACAAATGAGTTAAATCACAGACATTAAGGTCCGAAAAGCAAAATGAACTTGTGCTATATATATATAGATAAGCTAAGTAAACAAACTTAATAATCATAATAACTAATATTATACTCTATAGTATTAGTAATAATAACAATAATAATAATAATGATAGTTGAGAAGGGGAGTTTACCGAAAAAAATTGAGTTTTGTATCCTTTTTTTAAAAAAAAGAAAAGGCTAGTTAGTTATCTCTGTATATGTTCACAATGCAAACATCAGGTAGAAAAGAGACACAGGCTTTTTTTTGGGGGGGGGGAGTAAAAGGGATAGAGCGAGAGCGAGTGATAGAGAGAGAGAGAGGCAGAGCCAAAGAGTCAAAGACTCAAACAGTTAGGACATTCAGCATTTAATACTAGACTTCTAAGTGTATGTATGCTCATGTGAGTAAGTGAGTGAGTGAGTGAGTGATTTTCTCCATGTGTGTGTATATATGTCAAAGACGAGTAGATGGAGTGATCTAAACCTGGACAGTATTGATCAGCTTTGTGAAATGTAAAACTACCACCTTATGTTGTCGATTAAATCATTAAGGGAATAAGTCGAATGAGTAGTGGATTAATCAGAGAGAGAAAACAAATAGTTGAGTATGAAGGTTTTCTTTCAGCATTATTATTATTATTATTATCATTTCGACAGCTTGAAAGAAATGATAAATTGTCTTTTACAGTAATAATTTCTAGTTTTTTTAAATACAAGATAAGAATGGATTCATATTTTTCTTTATACTGTCGATATTTCTGTTATCTTTAAGAATATGTATATGTGAATGTTAAGGTATGTTAAGAGGTATGCTTTTTTTACTAGGAGGTATTTCAGTAGTATGACGATAGTTCCTTTTAAAAAATAATAATAATAATGATAATCGTAAACAAACGTCACTGATTTTCAGGTTGAAGTTGCTGAATTACTGACCATATGGTTAGAGATGTCAAATACACCTCGTTTATAGATAACGGAAATCTATCTGTCTAAAATAATTTCAACAGTTCAATACTTAACAATTTGAAGAGTAGGATGATGAATAATGGTAATTAAAATCCAGTAAGATCAGATTACCAGAAAAAAGGAATTATTATTATTATTGCATCCTTTAATTCCTAGAGGAACATAGGGCTTCAGCCGTGCGTCTCCATTGCGTTCGGTTCTCTGCTAGAGTCTTCACCTGGCTCCAAGTCTGCCCACACGCTTTCATCTCCTCTTCACATCACCTCCTCCAAGTCACCCTTGCACTGACGACCAACTCGCCGCTTCCCTTTCGAGTTCCACTCGAGCAATGGCTTGTCTAGTGATATCACTTGATGGTTTCCTCAGAGTATGGCCAATCCATCTCCATTTCTTCCTGCCTATTTGTTTCACAATCGGTTCCTGGTTGGTTCGTTCCCAAAGATCCCTGTTGCTGATCTTTTCTGACCGGCCATCTGATCTTGAGTATTGAGCGAAGACAACTGTTAATGAAGGTCTGTAGTTTGTTTGAGATGCTCTTTATGACGCGCAGTGCAAGTCTCTGATCCGTATAGTAGCAGTGACTGACTTCACATTGGAGTTGAAAATCCGGATCTTATTTTTCATGCTGAGTGCTGTTGACCTCCACACAGATTTGAGAGTAGTGAAAGCTTGTCTTGCTTTTCCGATTCTTGCTTTGATATCCTCGTCAGTTCCGTCCGCCTGTAGTTGAAACGATGCTTCCAGGTTGGTAGGTAAAGGAGGTTGTTTCTTTCAGTTTCCTCCCATTTATGCTGATTGTTGTCTGTTGTTGTTGTTGTTGCTGTTGATGGTGTTGCCCAGGAATCTTCATCACCTCTGTTTTCCCTGTTCACCTGAAGTCCTATCTTCTCTGGATGCTTCTTCTGCCAACTTGTTGCCTTTCACTTGCATATCTTCCAGTTTGTGGGAAATCAGACATATATCATCGGCGAAGTCCAGATCCTCCAAGGTTTTGTGTGGGTTCATTTTATGCCTGTTTCCTCATTGCTCGCTGTTTGTCGCATTATCCAATCTACCGCAATCAGGAAAATCCTCGGCGATAGTAGGCAGCCTCGTCTTGCTCCCGTCTCCACTTCGAAGTATTCCGTAA